AATTAGGAGGGAAGCAGAAAACTGGGAAAACAATTTTTACAACCAGTATATCTGATAAAAGCCTCATTTCTAAAATATATAGAGAACTAAGTCAAATTTATAAGAATACAAGTCATTCCCCAATTGGCAGTTCTCAGATGAAGAAATTAAAGCTATCTATAGTCATATGAAAAAATGCTCTAAATCACTACTGATTAGAGAAATGCAAATCAAAATGACTCTGAGGTACCACATCACACCTATTAGATTGGCTAACATGACAAAACAGGAAAATGATAAATGTTGGAGAAGATGTGGGAAAATTGGAACACTAATGCATTGTTGGTGGAGTTATGAACTGATCCAATCATTTTGGAGAACAATTTGGAACTATGCTCAAAGGGCTATAAAAATGTGCATACCCTCTGACATAGCAATAGCACTTCTAGGATTGCAAATTTAAAAAGTCTTGCACAAAGCCAATGCAACCAAGATTAGAAGGGAAGCTAGAAAACATTTTTTTACAGCCATTATCTCTGATAAAGGCCTCATTTCTAAAATATGTAGAGAACTGAGTCAAATTTATAAGAATACAAGTCACTCCCCAAGTGATAAATGGTCAAAGGATATGAACAAGCAATTCTCAGATGAAGAAGCTAAAGCCATCTGTAGTCATATGAAAAAAATGCTCTAAATCACTATTGACTAGAGAAATCAAATCAAAACAACTCTGAGGTACCACATCACACGTATCAGATTGGCCAACATGACAAAACAGGAAAATGATAAATGTTGGAGAAGATGTGGGGAAAATTGGAACACTAATGCATTGTTGGTGGAGTTGTGAACTGATCCAACCATTCTGGAGAGCAATTTGGAACTACAAGAATATTTATAGCAGCTCTTTTTGTGGTGGCCAAGAATTGGAAATTGAGTGGATATCCATCAATTGGGGAATGGCTGAACAAGTTGTGGTATATGAATGTAATGGAATACTATTGTGCTATAAGAAATGATGAACAGATGGACTTCAGAAACATCTAGAGAAACTTGTATGGACTGATGCTGAATGAAGTGAGCAGAACCAGGACAACATTGTACACAGTAAAAGCCACATTATGTGATGTTTAACTTTGATAGACATAGTTCTTCTCAGCAATGCAAGGATCTAAGACAACTCCAAAAGATTCATGATGGAAAATGCTACCCAGAGAAAGAACTATGAAGTCTAAATGCAGATCGAAGCATACTATTTACTTTTTTTCTTCTGTTTTGTTTCTTCTTTCTCTTAATTACTTCTATTGGTTCTAATTCTTCTTTACAATACGACTAATGTGAAAATACATTTAATAGGAATATAAATGTAGAACCTATATCAGATTGTACTCCATCTTAGGGAGGGAGGGGGAGAAAATTTAAAACCCAAAAGCTTATAGAAGTGAATATAAAAAACTAGAAATAAATAAATTAATTTTTAAAAAATAGAATTGAGCAGTATTCGCAACAGATTGGATATGGGGAATGATAGTGGTGAGGACTCAAGGATAACATCTACATTTTCAGCCTGGGTGGGAGGATGTTGGTACCACCAACAATAATAAGGAAGTTTGGCAGGGGGAGAGCTTTTTTTTTTTGGAGGGGGGAAGATAATGAATTCAATATTGTCTCCCTGATTAGAATGTAAGTTCTAATGGAGAGAAGCATGATAATGGGTGTAAGGAGTTAACCTAATAGAAAAGTTAGTAGAACCAGTAAAACAACTTGTATAATAATTCTATTCAATTCCATGAACATTTCTTAAGCACTTACTATGTGCCAGGCACTGTGTTCAATGGATACAAATAAGAAAAAAAAAAAACTTAGTCCCTGCCCTCAAGGAGCTTACAATCTAATGGGGGAAGACACAACACAAAAGGAAACTTAAAAGGGGGGAATGGTCATCTGGGACAGGAATGTGATGTTCAATGGAGTAGACACCAAGCAGAGCTGTTGATGGAAAATGGAAAGTAACCTGGAAAGTTCTAGGCCCTCAATAAAGGAAGGTTTGGGGAATTTATTGCTCCACCCTCCAGCCCTCCAATTAGAGCGGAGAGGCAACTAAGAGAGTCAAGAAGATGCTGAGTATCAAAACCTGAGTCAGTTAGCGCGGTGATGAAATTTTAGTTGATCAGCTTTTTTCCAGGGGAGGCCTGATGTTCTGTGGAGTCAAAACCAAGCAAAACTGCTGATGGAAAATGGAGTTAGGAAATCATAAAGAAAAAACACTTTGAATGACCAACCATGATTCCAGAGGACTTACGATGAAGCATGAAAGCCACCTTCTCCTAACAGAGAAGAGACAGACTCAAGGTGCTGATTGCAACGTATATTTATTGAACGTGGCCAATAAGAGAATTTGTTTTGCTTGACTGTGTATGTTTATTGCTAAGGTTTTATTTTTCCTTTTTTTTCTTCCACAATGGTAGGGGGTGGAGAGGAGGGAAGGAGACAAAAAATAGATTTCTGTTAATTAAAGGGGGGGGGGAAGTAGGCAGCAGATCACCAAAGAGGATTTATGCCCAAGGAGTGGTATAAAAAAAAAAGATAACCAAGAAAGCATAAACCAGAGGTGAGGTGGTCATAAATGGAGACTGAGGAATTATAGTGAAACCTGATGGCTATACTGGGAGCCATGAGGCATTGACCACAGATCCTTCATGGAAGATTTACGGCAGGACAGGAACAATAGAAGATGTAGATAAATTATGCTCTTTCCAGATGGAGGGAATATTGAAATCAATGAGATCATAATTCTGTATTGAATTATTCTCTCCTCTAGAAAACTACAAGCTCCTCTTGGCAGAGATTGTCTTCTGTTACTCTTTTTTTTTTCCAGAATAAAAATTGACATTTATATAGAACTTTTGAAAGAGCTATACCTGGGAGAACTTGTGTGAACTGATAACAGAGGAAAGTGAGCAGAAATAGAACAATTTATACAAAAACAACATTGAAAGACAAGCAAACTTTCAAAGACAGGAAAAGTGCTCTGAACAGAACAGAATAGAATTTTCTGGCATTAAACAGGTAGTTTTAGAAACAATATTTTGAGTTGTTCCCCTGCATATTGTGCCCTGAGTGACCACCTCCTATATCTATCCCAAGGCCTGGTTGTGCCAGTATAGCCAATGACCTGGGTTCAGTACAGTCCGTGTACATAAGACAAGTTAATTAATGCAGTGGCCAGCCAGCATTCCAGAGGACTCATGATCAAATATGCTTATCTACCCATCTCCTGACGACTGGAGGTGCAGACTGAGGCATTTTTGGGGGGTGAAGAAACAGTCATTGGAGGAATTTGTCTTACTTGACTATCAATGTTTGTAACAGGGATTTTGTTTTTCCTATTTTTTTCAAAAGGGGAAATATCAGAAGGATATGGCGGGGGAAGGTGGATTTTCATTGACTGAGAACAATTTTTATAAGTTTTAAACGCCATATGGAAAGCTGCTTTGTAAAACCTTGGAGCTCTATATAAATACAAGCTATTAGTACTAATATAGGCTTATTTCATTTGGTTTTCAAAATAGTTCTGTAAGTACATGTTATTGTGCAAATGAAGAAACTGGAAGCTGGGGAGACGAATGGCCTTCTCAGGGTTACACAGCTAATAAGCCTCTGAGGCAAGACTCGAACCCAGGTGTACCTGATTCCAACTCTACTGCTTTGCCCACTATATAAGGCTACCACTAGAGCCCCAACTCAGGTCTTTTCCCATAGTATGGGATTAATCAATATTTACTGAACTGAATTCTCCAGAGCTCATGGGTATAAAATTTAGATTACAGTAACAGGTCTGGTTACGATAACAGCTCAAAGCCTCCAATGGAGAATAAGATACCAAGATTTACAATTTTCAAACCTTGCCTAGGACATGTGCTTGCTTTGTCCCAGCTCTCCTGGATAGATCTTTGACCTAGGCCCTGACCCTGACCTTGATAAGCTAGTTTGCAAATATGTGTCTTTCGCCATAGGGGAGAACAAGGCTAGAAAGGAAAAGCAATCCCTTCTCTAGGACTAGGGTGGGGTGGGGGGTAGGATGGAGAAAATATTCTCAGCCAAATCCTCACTGTTTGGAAGTAGGGCTGAGGGTAGTCCAATGTTTGTATATAGAGGACATCCCATATCCATGGATTTAAAAGTTAGACATTATGGGTCTTACAAAGAAAGTGTGGTAGAGATAGAGAGCCCTGCCTGCCTGAAGTCCCAGACATAGACTTGTTGATGGAAGGGAACAGCTGAGTGGGTCAAGAAGCAGAGCTAGGGGAAAGGGGGTGTTGTAGGAGGACAGCTGGGAAACCAGATCTCTAGAGAACTGGGACACTTTGGGGAAGGTTTCCAGGGAGGAGAGTTGGGGGAAGGGAAGCTGAAATAAGCCCTGCATTCCCCTTTCCCCAATCCTTAGCATGTGTGTGCATGCGGTGGGGAAGGGATACAGAGTTCCTGAGCCATTGCCACCCTCTTCCCTCTATCAGACATATACTCTTAGAGAGGGGGAGGGAGGAGAGAACAAGTCTGGATCCACTCACGTGGGCTACCAGACCCAGGTTTCCACCCTACCCTACCCCAAGCCCCCAGCTCTGCCCTGCTGTTCTGCCACATTGCCACCTGCTGCTGAATTGTTCCCTTCTCATTCTGAAGAATCTAGGGTCAGGGCAAAGGGACAGAGGAAGGCAGCCTAGCTGATGTTAATGGGTAGGTCTGGAAGCTATCTGGAGAAGGTACTATTCTCCAATGAGACTACGCTGAAAGGTGAACGGGCTAGGAAGGGAAGGCTGAGGCAGGTGCTAGTCAGGCAGGAGGGAAAAGGAGGAGTTACCTCCAGAGGGCAGATGCTTGTTGAAACTGAAGAATTCTCTGCCCCACCCCCAGCCCCATCCCAACAATGCTATTACCCAGGGGCCCTGACCACTGAAGAGTATTTCCAGAATCAAGGAATCTCTTCTCCTCCCTGTCCCCATCCCTAGAAAGCTGAAGCAAAGTTGGCAGGAATCTGGCTTTATTTCCGGATAAGTTTGTTCATATGCTGTAACACTGACACTGAGGTGGGGGCGGGTGTGGGTACAGGCTCCCCTGAGTTCCCAATATCCCCATTCCACCCCTCTTGGGACTACTCCCTCATTGTAAGAGCCTGGGGGAGGCCCTTTTGTTACCCTTAAATAGAGAAAAACCCCTGTGGAGCCCTGGGCTGGCCCGGCCCAGCCCCCGGGGGGAGTGGGGCCATAGGCCCAGGGGTGAGGGGGGGCATGCTATATACATTATTCACAGACATTGTACCCAGAAGGTCACTTCCAAGAATAAAAGTGAAATACTACAAGTGAGACCCAGTCAGCGGCAGGGAGGTGAGGATGTGTGAGAGAGGGAGTGGTGTGGGAGGCAGGGCCTGGCTCCAGCTGAGGCCAGGGACACCGTCAGTCTTATAAGGTGCCGATTAAAAACAACACACAGGACACCCCTGGGAACCCGGGAGACCCCATCACCCCTCCCATCCTGACTCCTCGCCCAAGCCCAGGCCCCAGCTCCAGCAGCTCTCTTGTCTTTTGATCCCTTCTTCCTCTTCTTCCTTTTCCAGGGGGAGAGCCCCGGAGGGTCTGTGGCACGCCTGGGGTGGGGGGCATGGGGATGCCCTGGCTTGAGGACAGAGGCATAGTGCAGTGCTCTGGAACTGGGGGCAGGCCCTTAGAGAACTTCTGGGGAGAGAAGAGAGAAAGGGGATGTAAGCACAGGGACAGCTGGCAACATTTGAGTCACCCAGGGCAAGCTTGGAAGAACATTCGGGGATAGAGCTGGGGGTGGGGAGGTGCTGGGAATGGAACACTGAGTCTGGGCCAGTGGGGGAGGAATCTGGAGTAGCTGGAGGAAGAAGGGAGGGGCATTGGAGGAGGAAATTGGGGGAGGTGAGGTGGGCCAATGACAGGGAATTATTCAGAGAGGAGAGCTACAGGAAGGAGTTGGTGAGGAGACAGGAGGAATAGAAAGGATTTGTCAAGAAGACAGGGATTCAGGAGGGAAGTATAAGTGAGATTTGGAAGATAGGAAAAATTCTGTGAGCAGGGATAGGGAAGGATTCTTGGGTCACGGAGAAGACTAGAATGAAGGGAAGAGGGGACCAGTCATGGGGACAGGTAGAGATTCATAGGAGAGGGCTAGGAAGGCAATGGGGTGACAGGGGAGCAAGGATTCAGCTGGCACCTGTGACCTGGGGAGGCTGCACCACAGTTTTCTTGAGGAAGGCCTCAGCCTCAGCAAAAGGCAGCAGAGACTCCCCAGTTCTACTGAGGGGACTCCCCTTTTCTCCAGGGGTCCCCTTGGGGGTGAAGCCATTCTCTTGGTGCACAGCAGCTGGTTGCAGTCCATTCACCAGTGGCCCTGCCTCTTTCGCCGGCATGCTGTTGGTGCAGAGTGGGAAGAATTCTGATTCTTTGGCCTTCAAGAGCATCCCTCCACCCCTGAAGTATCCTGGATGCCTCTACACAAACCTATAACTGACTCTCCCCAAGGTTTCAGTAATCCCAAGGCAGGAGGAGGAATCCTGCTCACCTTCCCTCTGCTTCCTCCCCTCTCTAGTGTATGGGGAAGGGAGGGGAGGGAACTCTAATTCTAGGGTGATATACCTCCACTGAGGCTCCTGAGGAGGCTGTCCCTCTCTTGGCAGAATCTCCTTTTCCAGGCCCTTGGCCAGGGGCTCAGACACCTTCTCAGGCTCAGACACCTTCTCAGGCTCTGCAAGGAAGAATCCCCAGAGGGGGAAGGGGCCTTAATGGATAGTCCTTTCAGCAAAGGAAGGGGAAAGAGTTCAGTGGAAAGGAAAGAAGTTTAATGAGAGGAGGACTCAGTTGGAAAAGGTCATCAATGGAGGGGAGGGGGTTTAGTGGAGAGGGAAGAGAAGGGGTCAAATGAGGGGAAGATTCAGCTGGGAAATGACATCAATGGAGAGGGGGAGGATTCAGTGGGGAGGGAGCCTCAGTATGGGAAGAAGTCCCTGAGCCCTCCCCCACCTCACCTGGCTCCCTGCCCAGCACTCCCCACCCATGGGGAGGGCCCCCAGTACCTGGGCTGGAGTGGTCTGCTTTGGCCTCCTTCCCATTGAGAATCTTCCTATCCACCTTCTAGTTTGGTGGGGGAAAGGGGGTGGGTCAGAATGGTGAGGGACCCTGACAACACCCTCAGCTCCAAAGAAAGCCTCCTCCCTTCAGAAAGTCAGCCCCACCCCCTCCCACAGGCCCTGCAGATACCGTCCCCCCTCCATCTGGGGCCCCAGACCTTGGATTCAGCAGCCTCAGATTTCCGAGTCCTCTTCATAATCTCCTCTAGCCGCTGTAGCCCAAGGAAACATCCACCAATTAATATTAATAACAATAATAGCAGATATCTACATAGCCTTTTAAGATCTGAAAAGCCCTTAACACACATTATCACATTTGAGCCTTGCACCAAACCGGTAAGGCCCGTACTGCAGGGATTACCGTATTATCATCCTGATTTTACAACTGAGAAAACTGAGGCTCAGAGTGGTCACTATGATGGACAGTGACAATCAGAGGCAGGATATGAACCCTGGCTCCAAGTTCAACACTCCAGTCCCAATGAAGAAGCCCTCAGTAGGACCCCAGCCCCCAAGTCCTGTGGGAGGAAGGGCAGCTTCCAGGCACAGACCCGGCTCCTCCTCCCTAATATATCCATACCTTCTTTCTCTCTAGCCGCTCCTGCTCCTCGCGCTGAAAGTGTTTCTCCCGTTCCAGTCGCTGCCTCTCTGCCTCTTCCCGGGACCTCGCTTCAGCCTCCTCCTTCTGCCAAAGGTATCTCCAGTGAGGACTGGGCACCGGGGCTTCCATCCCTGGCCATGCCTCTATGCACTGCCACAGTTCCCTCAACCTTGACCGAGCTCCCAGCCAGACACCAAGCGCACACCCTCTCACCTGCTTCTGTAGCCTCTCCTGCTCCTCCAGCTCGGCCTGGGCCTTCTCCCGGGCCTCCTGCTCTTCCCGCTGTTGCCTCTCCTCCTCTCGCCGCCGGGCTGCTGCCTCCCGCTCAGCCCTGGCCTCAGCCTCCCGGGCCAGCTGCTCCTCTCTCAGTCTCCTGCGGCGGTGATAGGACATTTGGAAACTCAGTATCTACCTTTCCCCCTCCCCCTTCGGGAGACCTTGCTTTACAAAAAGGGGGACCACCTAGGTGTGCCCCAGAGGTTGATACACCAAGTAAGAATCTCAGCATCCCCCAACAAATCATCTCCCAGGCTCTGCTTGAAGATCTCCTATGATGAGGAACTCACTACTACTTCCAGAAACAATCCACGACACTTCTGGACAGCTATTACTGGCTTCTCCCCTCCTTCTCTCTCTCCTTCTTTCATATTGGGCCAAATAGACCTCTCTGCCCTTCCTCTCACTACCTCTAGTTCTGTTTTCTGCTATCAAGCAGAATCCCTCATTCACCTGACAACCCTTCAGCCCCTTACTGACAGCACTCCGTACCCCCTCAGTCCTTTCTTCTCCAAGCTAAACATCTCTAGTTCCTCTCTCAGTAAGACTGGTTCCAAGTCTCTTCAGCATCCTGTGAGTCATTTGACAGGTGAAATTAAAGTTTGTCAATACTTTGTTAGATATGTGATGTCAACAGGGAGGGGCAGAGGATCATTAAACATTTTGTTGTTGTTCAGTCATGGCTGACTCTCTGTGACCCCATTTTTGGATTTTCTTGGCAAAGGTACTACAGCAGTTTGTCATTTCCTCCTCCAGCTCATTTTTACAGATACGGGACTGAGGCAAACAAGGTTAAGGGACTTGCCCAGGGTCACACAGCTGGTATGTAAGTGTCTGAGGATGGATTTGAATTCACAAACATGAGTCTTCCTGATTCAAAGCCCAGTGCTCTATCCACTGCACCACTGCAAGTGTTCAGAAAAGACATCGAGCAGGCAGATCATCTTTATGAGTAGATTTTTCTCTATTGAATCAAATTCTTGTTTATAATCAAATAATGAACATAATGGGCTATTATATTCTTTATAATTCAGTCGAACCCTGTGATTGGGAAAATGTGGCCAGCTGTAGAGAATCATCTCTGAAAGGCTGTCTATTCCCTTCTCATATTTTCATCAAGGATACCCTTCCTTTGTACATAGATCCATAAACATTGGGTAAGGATAAGAAAGTATGTGTCTGGATCAAAAGATACCAATATCTTCTAAGTTGTTTAAAAAAAAAAACACCCTATAGGTTGGCTACAATCCCAAGAGACTATTCAAAGATCATATAACATGGGTATAGTTTCGGCAGGGTATGGGTAGAAAACACCCCTGGGAAGAAGATGAGCAGAAGAGGGTGAAAACCAGTGGAGTGTATATGTGTAGATATATCTCTATATATTTATATATAGCTATATCTCTCTATATCATTGAGTCCATCAGAGGCTTTGAGGCAGTTGAGATCTCCCCTTCCCTCTTGCTAAGTCCATAGTTGGGTATTCTACTCTGGAAGGTTTCATTGCTCCTCAACACCTGGCTTAGGACTTGATACAGTCCTATCTGCAATGATGGCACACCCTAGACCTCTCAGCATTCCGGTAGATATCAGCAGTGGTGACAAACATCACATCAGGACACACTACCTGCGTTCATCTATGGAAAGTTCTTTGATACTTGCCCCTGGTCCCATACAGCATGAGTGACTCTAATATAATCACTTTGCCAAAGACCCAAGGACACAAAGTCTTAGTCATTTGAAAAGCTGGTAATTGAGAGCATGGGAGGAGGTATCTTAGGAGATGACCATGTTTGATGTATCTTATACTGTTTGTCATTTGATTCTTCTGGATACCATAATGTTTTCTATTTCAAATAAGCTGCAATCAAATATCACTGCAATGAGGTAATACATAAGACATACCAGTCTAAAAAAAAGGGTGGGGGTTAAAAGACGATAGTGGCTGGTGCTAACATGTGCTGTATTCCCCACTCATAAGTTCCCATCTCTTCAGATTGGTGTGTGGGGATGGAAGATACCTTTTCAAATCTTTTTGGAGCTGTGTTCTGTAGTCCTCCACCTCTGCAGACAAGTGTGTGTGGAGATAAAAGATACCTTTTCAAATCTCTTATGATTATAGGATCATAGCTTTAGAGTTGGAAGGGACTTCAGAGGCAATCCATTCCAACCTTCTTATTGGGGTTGGATGAGAAACCGAGGCCCAGAGGTTAAAAGACTTGTCCAAGGTCAAACAGCTAGTAAGCATTATAGCTAGGAACTGAAACTGGGTCCTATTGACTCCAAAACCAACATATTCTCCACTGTATCCCAAACTATTGGCTTTGAATAGATTTCAACCCTATCTTGCCATGAACCAAGTGAAAGCTTTTTGAAGGGATATGGGTGTGTGGGTTTTGAAGGCCTAGGTGCTATGTAATACCATCCTAGGGCTTATGCAGTATTTTTGAATATTTCCCTCTGAAATATCTTGCGAATCAGTCCCTGTGTACCTTCACACTTGTATCATGTTCAGCATAGTTTTCCTCCCTGGCAGCTTCTTTTCCAAACTTGAGTTTCATTGCTGCTTCCTCATATAGCACCATGGGTGCTGAGCTGTTCAAGTTCAAATTTGTTGTTCCTACCATTAGTGATGATTTGAATAGATCCTTCTAGAAATGTCATTCCTTTTCATTGTCTTCCCTTCGGTTTCTTATAAGTGCTTTTAGTTGGGTTTTATACCAAGATTTTTGCAAGTTTCTCTGATAAGAAGACAATGATCCAAAATCTATCATCCAAAATGTATTTCCTTCATTTTCTTAGAGAGGTGGGGGATCATGGGTACAGGATGTTGCAACGCTATCAGACATGTTTGATATGCTGGCTGGTCGGGTGCTTTTTTTTAACCTGTGCTTTGTTGTTGTTACAAGGAAAAGTTCATGAAGTGGGAAGAAGGGTCTATCCAGAAATGATTTTAATGTAAACGTGAAAAAGAATCCATAAGATTCTTAAAAAAAAAAAAAGGAGAAATCATCTATCCTCTCTAATGCTTTTCTTGGGTTTCTAAACAGTCACCACCATCTGCCATTTATCTCTGCATGATGAGGGAGGATTTGCTGGCTGCACTATTTTCTAGGTTCTTTTACTCTCCACTTTCTGGCAATTAATGTCCATTGGTTAAATTTCACTAAGAGATAGATGGCAATAATCAGAATCAATATCTTTGCTTTTATCCTTTTCCCATTGCTCTCGGTCAAGTGCTCATTTTAAAGAGGTCACATTGGAGGTGTTAGAATTGCAAGTAGCATCTTCTTATTCTTCTAATTTGATATTAATTTTGATATTTGTTGTCTGCAGTTAATGATCTGAAACAATGAAATTCAGTGATTCTGAAATAATCTGGGGCAGTGAGGTGGTGCAGTGGATAGAGTACTGGGCCTGGAGTTGAGAAGACTGGAGTTCAAATTTAGCCTCAGACACTAGCTTAGGTGACCCTAAGTAAATCATTTAACCTCTGTTCACCTCAGTTTCCCCATCTGTAGAGTGGGGATAATAATAGCACTTAGCTCCCAGGGTTGTTGTGAAGGTGAAATGAGATGATAATTGTCAAGTGCTTAACACAGTGTCTGGTACATAATAAGCACTATATACATGTTAGCTATTATTATTTCCACATTGATAAATAGTAATCTCCTGTCTGTTAGGATATGGTTAATTTACTGTTTTCTTTCCTTGTTTCTTTTTCTTTTTGGGGGGTAATAGAATATTGTTAATTTATTGTTTTCTTTCCTTTTTTTTTTTGGTAATGTTGTTTGGTATGCACCATGTCCATATCTTGAGGAAAACATGTATTATGTACAGGCATGGGGCCTCTGAATCATCTACTTCCCTCTGGCTCTTTCATTCTTAATTAGGAACCATGCTGTTCAATGGATAATTCACTGCCTTCTCCCATTCTATCTTTGCTTTGAAATCCCCAAACAACAAGGTATCTGTTGCCTTGGTTTGGAAGATACAGTTAAGGTCTTCCTTGAATGTCTGTATTTCCTCCTTGGTGAGCTACAGATATTGACACACAAGCCACAGACACTGACACGTAAGCTTCATGGTAGTCCCTTCACCTGTGCTCATTATGACTGCTGTAAGGCAGGGTGACCAAGTGCCTCGAGGGAGGGTTTTCTTGTCAACCTTGGGTGCAGGACAGAAACAGTAACAGCCGCATCCTCTTTATTACCTCCTCCTCTCCAAGGAAAGCTCACGAGCTAGCCTGCTGTTTGGCCGAAACTTTGGCCTCATGCCTTCATTAGCAGCAAAAATGTCAGTTCACTTGTGGTTTAGTTCTAGCAGGGCATCAGTACCAACACGCTAAGTTAATGTTGCAGATGGTCTAAAAACTTTGATCTTTGTTGCCCTTGCTTATGCATTTTCCACCACTGCCATCAGCACTGTGGGAGCAGGACTGATGGGCTGATGGCTGCTCTGAATTTCTGCTTCTTGAGTCCCCCATGGCCAAAGAAGTTATCCTCTAGAGGTTAACCCACTGGTATATTCAGCTGGGCTGGTCATAGGACAATAGGAAGGGATTTCAGAGGTCATCCCATCCAACTTCCCTCACCCCCATTTTATGGATGAAGAAACTGAAGGCCAGGGAGTTTGTGACTTGCCAAAGGTCCTATAGGGGTTAATAAGTGACAAACATCAGAGGGCGGATTTGAACCCAGGTCCTCTGACCCCAGAACTAGCACTATTTTCACTGGACCATGTAGTCCTGATACCCAAATGATAAGACATAACCTATCCCTGGACCATACTAAAGGCCTCTCCAGGTTCATAGGAACTGAGAGGGCTTTCACTCTGCTGAAATAGCCGTTAAAAATCACCTGCGGGTCAACCCCAAGCCACAAGGACACTTGAGTAGCACTTCTGGGGAGTCCATCAATGTCTTTAAAATGGTGTGTTCTTAGGATAACTGGACTGCTGCTTTCTTCATTGTGGACATGGTGCTATTAAAGTAGCCTAAGATTATATTAGCCTTTTTGTGTGCTGCTACCAACCCATCTTGAGCTTGCAGTCCACTAAGACCCCTAGCTCATTCACACTAACTAGCTTGAACAGTCATGCCTCACCTAGTCTGAGTGAACACTATTAATTTTGTAAACTCGTATGCTGAACTTTACATTTATTCCTATCAATTTCATCTTAATAGGTCTGGCCCATCCTTTTAGCCTGTCATGATCATTTGGGGAATCATCATATGGTATGTTAGCCATCCCTTCTAGATTTGGGTTAACATGTTGATCAAATTTTCAGACATCTATACCTTCGTTGAAATCAATGATAAAGATATTGAGCAAAATAGGTCAGGGATAGAGCCCTGAAGCCACCACTAGAGACCCACTTCTCATTTCAGCCTGAGTTTTTTCTGCACCCCTCCCAACCTTCAGCATCCAGAAGGCCATGAGACCATGAAGTATGTATGGGCAAATTTTGTCAGATTCTGATAAGGGCAAGTGCCTGTGTTTGAACAGTCTTTAGAGGACTGAGTGGCTGAGGCTGAGGGAGGGAAATATGGTACCAAAGGTATTCCTGCCCTTGAGGGGCATAAAGTCATCCACGCCCTTACCCAGGCAGTCCTGGGCCTTTGTGCTCCCAACTCCCTCCAAGGGAAGCCCTGGCATAAGCCTTAGCTTCCACACTCACTTGTCTCGTTCCTCCTGCTCCCGCCGCTCCTGCTCCTCCCGCTCTCGCTGCTCTCGGGCTTGGCGCCGTTTCTCAGCCAGCAGCCGCGTGGCCTCTTCTGGGTCTGTGGTGCCAGCCATGGGTTTGCCAGAGGGTGGAGGGGGAGTTGGGGCTGGGGGCAAAGCTGGGATGGTAGTACCTGGAGGAAACCCCAGACCCAGCTGTCAGGGGCACATGCCTTGGTACTCACTCTGAGTTCTGTTTGCACCATTCAGGCAAGCCTAGATCATTCCACTAACTTGGAGCACTCAGCCTGTTTCCTGATCTAAGACATCTTTTCTGCCTCTGCCAACTCCCATCCATCCCCATGCCAGATCCTAATGTCCCCAAAGCCAAATGGAAATAAGGTTATCCACCTCCTTCCCCACAACCCCATGAGCTTGGAGAACAGAGACCTGGGGGTAGCATTGGACAGGAACCCAACTGCTGTCCTGTCTCCCTCTCAGACCTTGAATTCTAAGAGCAGGGCCATCAGTATCGCCTATTGGACCCGGCACTCCCTGAAAGCAGAGGTCACAAATCTCCTCCTTAGACCAGAGGCTAGCTCCCCCGAGAGAGGATTTGATCTTCCTCTTCTACCTCAGGGTTCCCTGAAGAGCCCTTTGCCCACCTGAGGGTGGCTCCCCAGGAGCCCTCACTGGCTCTGCTCTGGGCAGCTCCTTGGCTGGCTGCTGGGTGGTTGGTGATGGTGATGCTGCAGCAGCTGGCAGCTTCTCTTCCTCCCTGACTTTTTCTTTATTCTTCTCTTCTCTCCCAGCCTGGCCAGAGCTCTCTGGGGTCTCCTCCTTTCTCCGGACCCGCCCCTTGGCAGTGGCTGTGGTGCCTCGTGGGGAAGGTGGTTTGGGGGGCAGGCCAGGTCCTGGGCCTGGACTGGGGCAGGGGGAGGCTGGCCGGTGCCGAGGCGTGGAGGGAGATGAGGGTCGAGTCTTCGATTTGGGGCTGTGGGAAGAAGAGTGATACCTTAGAATGGCTGGTTTTCCTGAACAGAGCCCCAGGTCTCTCTTACCCCCTCTGTCCCACCCAGAGCAGGTGCCACACACCTGAGTTCTGTGGCGGGTAAAAGGCGGGTTCGAGGAGCAGGCAGAGACTGGCGCTTCTTGAGGCTTCGCTCCCGTGCCAGGGCACTCTTCTCTTTCTCATTCTCTCGGTCTTTATCCTTCTTGTCCTTTTTCTTTTGTGCCTGGAAAGCCCAGGGTGGGAACCCTCATGAAAAAGTCCATCAGTCAGCAATGGCTCCAACCCTCACCCCCACCTCTGGTCACTGGATGACCCCAGTCTGCATCCCCTGGGCAGGTCAGAATGGCACTCACTGGGGAGGCTTCAGGCCGACGTCGAGGGGTGGCAGGGCTGCCACCTGTTGTCTTCCTGCGCTCAGCAGCTGCACATCGGTGGAGGCTCCTAGGAGTGCTGCAGGGGGTCAGGGGGCTGGCTGAGGCAGAGCGAGGGCACATGGGAACCACTAGGGAGGAACACACTGGATTTAGGAGAGATGACACGGTGGCCCTCAAAAAAACTCAGACCTTGAAGTTAAGAGACCCAGGTTCAAAATCCTAACTCTGATCTTTACTGGCCATGTGACTTTGGACAAGTCACTACTTCTCTGGGTCTCAATTTCATCAGATATAAAATAGTAATAATCATACTTACACTCCCTCCTTGCCAGGAGTACTGTAAGGCAAGGACTGGATACAAGGGCCTGATTGAAAAATGCTAAAGATATAATATGCCCTGCTTGTCCCCAAGGAGAGGGGGTTTCCAAGCACCTATGCTTGTTACCCTCATATCCCTGCCATTTGGATGGCCCTGGTCTGCCCCACCTTGAGTCTTTGTTGCTTCCCAGCTCCCCTTCCTCCCAGGGCACTCCAGCATGCCCCCCTACCCTGGTCCTTGCCATTGCCTGGCAGGGTGACAGCACTTCTACTCCGGGCCAGGAAGGATAGCGTAGGTGTCATCAATCGGTCCACTATGCTGCTCTCCCAAGGGCTCAGCTGTAGGCTCCGATCTGGGGTGGTAGGGATGGGGGAAAGAGGGCAGAAACAGTTAGCTCCTGGCTGGCTTCCCCAGATGGTTACAACCCTGGGGTAGACCATGAGGCACACCAGGCACACAACAGCCACACACGGACATACCCAAGGACCTACACACAGTTCTCCACAGACACACTCACACACACACACACACACACACACACAACACACACATACACACACAAGGACCAGTTCCCCATCTGTTTCCTCCCTCCTCTAGCCTTGCATGCATTTCTTCTGCCCTAGCCTGATGGGCAACCACTCCCCAGGAATACGACAAGCCCTGTTCCATTCAATATTGACCTTGGCTCTGGTACTAGCCAGGGCTCACACCACTGTAGAGCTCTGGAGAAGGCTAACATAGCTCAGGAACATCCTCTTGACCTCTCCCCTGACACAGCAAAAGAGAGTGCCTGGCATGTTGACTCAGGACCCAGGAGGGGAAGCCAAGGCCAGACATCCAGGGCCACTGCCCACGGCTACCCAGTGCCCCTAGGAAGGGAAGGGCTCATCCTAGACATGGACATCATTGCCCTAAGGAGGTCCCACTCTGAGAAGGTGCTGCCCTTCCAGGTGAAGTGGCTTCTTGCTCTGAGCAAGTCACTGGTTCTGGAGGTGTCCCCATGCCCTGCCTGCCCTGCCCAGCTGCCCCTGCTGCCTCTCCCAGTCTCTCAGCTGCTTTATCTATTTTTACCCCTTCTCAGTCAGGTGGGGCCTAGCAGCAGCTGATTTGGTTGCCAGGCAATTGAACAATCAAATAAAGGCTGAAGGAGCTTATAAATAACTCCTCTACCACCTCTCAAAACCTCCTAAATCCCCCACTTCACAGGCTGGCATGTGGGCATGGTGCTAGCTGGGAGTGAGGGCAGTGCCACCCTTCTAGATTCCTGTTTCTGAAGACACATCTGGTGCTTCTTTGGGGGAGGAGCTACCACGGGACCAAGGCTTGTATCCTCGGCACCAGCCTATTCCAAATGCCCCTCCAATCCCTTGGCACAGGAGGGGTACTGCAGAGGACCAGCAAGAGAACAGAGGGAGACAATGCCCAGACCATAATCCAGTGGATTATGAATCTGCTTAGGCCCCAAGCCCCTCCACCTCCTTTTTGGCAGCTTGGACCCTGGAGCCACGGGAGCAGTGCTTCCCCTCTCACTGCTTGGCTCAGATGCTGTCTCCTTGCCTGAGAAGGGGAGAGCAGTCTTCCAGGCTCTGGCAGCCCCAGCTTGGGTCTTCTGACCCTTAGGACTGTATCCTGAAGCTGGGGGCATGGCCTTCTGCCTGTCCTGCTCCTCTAGCCGTGGATACACAGCTCAGTTCTCAGTAACCATGACCTCCCAATAGCCACAGAGCCTCAAATGTTGTGGATGTGGGCAGGCACACAGACTTAAGATGCTTCCCTAAATTTTAGAACTACAGAACCTCAGAACAAGATAGGACCTTAGGGGTCATCTAGTCTGACCCCTAGCCAAACATGAATCCCTTCTACCACCTTCCTGACAAGTGCCTTGGGTCTCAGACAGGGCCAGGGCCTAGGCTGGGATTGGGAAGCAGTCCTATTTCTGGGGCTGCCTCTGGGCAATGGCAGACTGGCCTTGGGGCGGGTGGGCCTCTTACTTCTACTGGGGGAGTTCCAGAGCGTGGCAGAGGATTTTGAGAGACGCTTGTTGATTATAGAGTCCACGTGTTTAGGCAGGTTTACTGCCGACATGGAGCACCTGCTTCCACCTGGAGGGGAAAAGACACGGGCATTAGAGCCAAGGGCCGGGAGAGGAGAGGGCCAGGCCTGGGGCCAGGAAGCCAGGGAAAGGGGAGGGCCAGGCCTGGGGCCAGGAAGCCAGGGGCGCCCAATAGGGCCTTCCATGCAGGGTGCTCTTTCAAGCAGGTTCAAGAGGAAAGGGAGAGAGAGGGAAGAACAGGAGAAGGGAGGGGAAAGGGCAGGGAGGGACATGGGACAGATTCAGCCCCAGGAGGGGAGATACAATTGCTCTGTCAGGGAAAGGGCCAGGCTAGGGAAAGGGGCACGCTTCTAAGGGGGCCAGTGGCTGCAGCCTGTGGTCTTCTTTCCCAGAGAGGACTAGTGAGACTGGATCTTGCTCTGGCCAAAGGTGGCCTTAATGGCTGACACAGTCCCCTCCTCCAGGCTGTGCCCACCCCTGCTGCTAAGGCCCTCACAACTGCTTACATCCCTGACAGCTTTCCAGCCTCAGAACTTTTCAGACTCCACAGATTCCACATTCTGAATCTGAGCTGATACCCTCAGCCCTGCTGACCCTTCATCTAAACACCTCCACATATAAAGATACACAGAAACAGAGAGAAAAACATACACATACATAGAATCAGGATTTGGAGCAGTAAGGAACTTAGGGATCATTTAGTCCAATAGGGTTCTTTTGTGGGTCTTGGACCCCTTTGGTGAAGCCTAAGGACCTCTTTCTTTTCAGGATCATGTTTTTAAATAACTGAAGGACATGATAAATTTCAGTTAGAAGTTACTGAAAATAAAGATGTGTTTTTTTTTTTCCATCCAAATTCATAAATTCTTTGAAATCTATCTATGGACCTCTAAGGAGTCCATGGACCTCAGGTTAAGAACTCCCAATTTAGACCAATCCCTTATTTTACATGAGGAAATCTCAATTTCCTGAGAGGTGGTGTGACTTGCTGAGACCAAAAACACCTGGGTTTTGAGCCCAGGTCAAATCTACCATTTTTTGCCACTACCTCCCCATTGCCTCTGATGCATGACACACCAGCCCCCATGAATATTCAATGACGCACAAGCACAGAAATACACGGCAACATGCAGACCTACAGCTGTATACTATGATACACCAACATCTACAGACATCATACACGTCATCACATATACACACATATGTCCACAGTGAGACACAAAGTACGCATAGCTGATGACAGATATGCACCAAGACATTCACATACACAACTACACAGATACAAACACACGTTTGCCCTGGACATGGAGGTCAGCCCAAAGTACAATGGGTCCCACTTCATGAAAGCTCACATACCAAAAAAAAAAAAATCAAACTTATTTAACAGATAAATTAGAGGGTAATTATCTTAAAAAAAGAACTCCTCTGAGTATATTATGGTACTTGTTTACAGGTCATTAATTACTTGCAAGAAATCAGGGAAACTTTCAGCTCAAGTGTTAGAAGTTGCTGCTTACTGAATAAAAACTGAAGATGAAGACATCTCTCTGAGACAATAATGGCAGGCAATGGGAAGGATGCAATTTACAAAATTTCAATTTTTGCACTTTTCAGAAACATATCTGTCATATAAGATGAGGTGCACCTTTAACCAATCCCCAGATCCCTGCATTATGCCCATCTTCCCCCATCCCCACATGCTCCCCTCTAGTCATCCACATCCCCTCTTTAGCCCTGGTGCTGCTACCTCATGGGCCCAGGTATAGGGTGGCCTGGGGAGACTGCAACGGATAAAGCGATTGGTGCCAGCAGCACCCCCTTTGTCCTTTCTACACACTATAGTTCTCTCAGGACCTCAAAGCTCCCCCCTTCCCTTCCCTCACATTGACCTACCTACTCCAGTACTCTGGGACAAGGCCAATACCCCTGTTACCATCCCCAGCCCCTCCCATACCCACCAATCTGCCCACTCACTGTTCTTATGTCCTGGGGAATTCTGCTGCAGGGCTCCTGCCCAGGACCAGCGTTGCTGCCGGATCTCTGCCCACGTCTTCTTTACTGACCTCTGGATGGCAGCTTCATAACGTTCCTGGGGGTGGGATGGGGCCAAGCGTTAACTTTGATAGCCCCCTTCTCCACTTACTCTTTTTTCCTGCAGAACCAGGCTCCAAACCTCTCTTGTTCTGGGAAGCCTCCGTAGCTTAGCCCCGAGCATAATTGTTATTGTTGTTGTCGTTTATTTGTTTTCAGTTGTATCCAACTCTTTGTGACCCCACTTGGGGTTTTCTTGGCAAAGATACTGGAATGGTTTGCCACCTCCTTCTCCAGCTCATTTTACATTTGAGGAAACTGAGACAAACAGGGTTCAGTGTCTTACCCAAGATCACACAGCTAGTAAGTATCTGAGGTCACCCTTGAACTCAGGTCTTCCTGACTCCAGGCCTGATGCTCTATCCACTGAGGTACCTAGCTGCCCCTAGCTGATCACAATAACAGCTAGCATTTATGTAGCGACTTAAGTTTGCAAAGCACTTTAGCTGTCTGATCCTCACAACCAGCCTGGCATTTCCTGAGTTCAGGCAACCCATTACTTTCAGCCTCAGAGGTAGCTGGGGGTACAGAGGACAGAACATTGAGCCTGGAATCAGGAAGACCTGAGTTCAGATTTAGCCTCAAACACTTACTAGCCGTGTGACCCTAGGCAAGTCATTTAACCTCTGTTTGCCTCAGTTTCCTTGACTGTAAAAAATAATGGTACCTCTCTTGAAGGGTTGTTGTGAGTCTCAAATGAGATCATATTTGCAAAGTGCCTGGTTCATAGTAGGCACCATATAAATGCTTATTCCCTCCTATTCCTGCCCAGCAGCAGAGACTGTAGATGTATGCCATGTTATCAAAACTTGTTTGTTCTTATGCTTTTAAAAAATGATTTTCAGGTCATTTCTAGAGGATGTGATGTCTCCTTTCTGAAAAGCGTCTCCTCACATGGGCTTGGTTTGCTGAGGGCAGGACCGCATGTTTTTTTTTTTTCCAGGGCTCAGCTCAGAGCTCCACATGGAAGGCACAGGACAGGCCTGTTCATTCATCCCAGATGAGCCCTCTTTCCCTTTTCCCCAGAGTGTCCCCACCAACCACAACCCCCTACTGATCCTCCTGCAAGCCACACACAAATGCACAGACACACCCATGAGCACAGATTCAGGTGCATACTAAATCAAAGATTGAACACCAAGGGGATCAGAGTTCTAGAGCAAGACTGGACCATAAGGGCCATCTAGCTCAGCCTTCTCATTTGACAGACGAGGAAAGTGAGAAGTCACTTGTCCAAGGTCATCTGGACAGTTAAGTAACAAAAGTAGGATTTGAATCCTGGTCTTTGGCCTCCATTGTCAGTACGAGCTCCCATACAGAGATACAAACATATGTATGTGCATACAAGAACACAGTCTCTAATAAAAATAACTAATATAGAGCAATTTTAAATAATTTGTACTTTTAAATTTAAATTTAAAATAATTTTTTAAAAATTTAATTTAAAATGTTAGTAATTTTAATAGGAATGCAGCTTTTAAAGGTTTGCAAACAGAAGGTTTGGCATATATTTCATTTGAGTCTTAGGACCATTCTGTGACATAGACGCCATTATTATCCTCATTTTACAGATGAGGAAACTGAGGTTCAAAGAAGATGAGAGACTTGCTCAGGGTCACCAAGTTAGTAAATGCCTGAGAGAGGATTAGAATTCAGATCCTCCTAACTCTTAGTTCATGGATCCACCCACTCCTCCTTCTTGCTTCAAACATAATCCTTTCTCTTTTCACCCTTCAATGCAAAAGGAACTCCCACATGGACCTGTGGGCAGACAAAGAACCAAGTGCCCTCATGGACTTGAACACACACCTTGTTCTTCTCCAGCTTCTGTCGCTGCCTCTCCTCCAGGGCTGCTCTCCTCTGCTCTGCTTTGAGTCTCTGCTCCTCGAGCCGTCGGCGCCGCTCCTGGAGCTGCTTCTCACGAAGGACTTTGGCCTTCTCCTCCTTCTCCAACCACATGGCTTTTTTGGCCGCTGCCAAAAAATCAGATGCCAGAGGAGTTAACAGAGCCATCACAATCATCCAAGTCTAAATTCACTTCCTCCCCAGAAGCTGCCTTGATTGATACCGTTCTTTTGTCTTCACTCTTACTCTCATCTCAACAGGAAGCTTCGTGAAGAAAAACAGGATTATCTCTCACCTCCTAAACCAACCTGTCCTCCCAATTTCCCTATATTTGCCAGAAGCACTGTCATCTTCCTTAGCCCTCAGGCTGCCAACCTCAGAGCTGTCTTCTACTCTTCCCTCCTCCCCCAACTCGATCAGGGGCTAAGTCTTTATCAATTCTCCCTCAACAACATCTCTCCCATTTATCCCCTTCTCTTAATTCATACAGCTGCCATACTAGTTTCAGGACTTAATCAACTATCACTGATACTATTGCAATAGTCTCTTAATTGGGTTCTCTCTCTCCAATCCCTCCCCTAGGATCAGAGATTTAGAGCTGAAAGGGACCTTAGAGACTATGCAGCCCAATCTCTTAATTTTACAGATGAGGAAACTGAGGCCCAGAGAAGACAGTGATTTGCTCGGGGTCCCACAGCTAGTGTCTGACACAGGATTTGGAACTCAAGACTTGCTTACTCCAAGTCTAGCACTGCTCTATCTAGCTGCTAATTCTCCAATCCATCCTCCACCCAACTGCCAAAATGCTATTCTTAAAGTGCAGGTCCCATCATGCCACTCTCCTGCTCAAAAAACTTCTTCAATGACTACTGTACCTGCTGTTTCTAGGATAAAATACAAATGAGTTAACATATGTAAAGATGCTTTACAAACCTTAAAGGCAATATAAATGCTAGTCGTCATCATCATCATCATCTTCATTATTACAAACTCTTCAGTTTATTTAAAGCACCATAATCTAGCTCTAACCTATTTTTACAGACTAATTCCTCATTATTCCTCCTTGGGCACTCTAAGGAAACTGCTTTTCTGCTGTTCCCCAGACAAAACATCCTTTCTCCCTTCTCCATGTCTTTGCAAAGCCTATGACCCCCACCCCATGCTTAGAATGTTCTCTTTCCTCACCTCTGCCTCTGAGAATCAATTCCTCACTCCCTTCAAGGCTCCATTTGAATGTCAAGAAAGACTCTACAAGCGACTGCTCCTGATTGCCTCCTACCCTTCTCTTACGTTATTCCGTACTCATTTTCTATTGACTCATCTCTGTACAAGTTGATTCTCCCTTAGAAGATTATAAGCTCCTTGGGGGCAGGAACTTTTTCCTTTTGGTTTTGCATCAGTGCCTAAAACAAAGCCTTGTATATAGTAGAAGCTTCATTGTTGAAATCAACTGAATAAGACCAGGAGTTCAAGAGCAGAGGCATCATGATAATCATAGCATTTAGAGATGGAAGGAGCTTTAGACACAATCAAGGTCAACGAGCTCTTTAGGAGAAAATTGAGACTGAGAAAAGGAAGTAATTTGCCCAAGGTCAGAGAAGTAATAATAATAGCTAGCATTTATATAGCACTTTAAGATTTACAGAGCACTTTACAAACATGATCCCATCATATCCTCACAATAACCCTGGTGCTATCACTGCCCCCGTTTTATGGATGAGGAAACTGAAATAGATTCAGTTTAAGTGGCAGACCTGAGATTTGAACTCAAGTCCTCTGACTTTAGACTCAGAGGTCTTCTGACTACACCAAGGTCTTTTCTATCAGACCATGCTATCTTTAGCTTGCCTCAGAAGAGCAGGCAGAGAAACTTAGCCCTGATCAGAGTGAGCCAACCCTTTCTGTGGGATTTCACAGTTCAAAGTATCCTCTAAAGGATTTCTATCCTTCTCCTCTGTCTCCCCAATGTTCTACTCACCAAGATATTTGGCCCGCTCCTCTCTCCGCTCCTTTGCCAGCTTGTGTCTTTCTCCAGCTTTCTTGGCATCTGGGCACCATGTGGGGTGAGACAAGAGCTGGAGTTAACTAAAAGTCACTACAAATTTCCTCCCCTTTTGAGACAAGCCTCCATTTTCCAGATGGGAGAAAGAGGAGTCTCTACTTTAAGTCAAGAGAAGCAAATGGCAAACCAGGCTGCTGGGTCATGGTAGGCAAGTATTTAGGCTCATATACCTGCTCCCCAGAAGAAATACGGCTGGCCCTATGGGCATGGAAAGGAAGTGCAGGAAGGAGTACACACCTACCTTGTCTAGGATTGGGGCTGGTGGAGCCTGGAGCAGCAGTTGGGGATGGCTGGCTGTTCCTGGCAGGCGACTTAGCATCCTGGGAAGTGCCACTGGGTGGTGGAGCAAGATTCCCACTTTTCTCTTCTGTCAGGAGAGGGTCCTCCTTCTGGGGTACTGTCTGTTCTAGAGAGGCTGCCGCCTCCGGGGAGGGGGAGGCTGGGGGCTGAGCACTCCCTAGAGGGTTCTTCGTGGCTGGTGGGGTGTTTGGAGGGGTGTCTGGAACCAAAGCAGGAGTTTGTAGGGAGAGGTCACCTGCAGGGGAAATCCTTGGGTCTGCGGAGGTCCCAGCTGCCTCAACTGGAGAACAAAAGCCAAGAGCAAGGAAAGAAGTCAATTCCTCAAAACATAGATCCCAGACTCAGCTAATAAGCCTCCATGCAGTCAGTCTCTCCAGCAAACAGGATGCTGCCCTGTGAGAGATGATATTGAGGGCAGGGGATGTGTGGGGCTGCAAATGGGCATCTCTGAGGATTGTTTGAAGGAACTGGGGGTGTTCTGAAGGAAGAAGAGAAGACCTTGGGGCAGGGTGGGGACACGATGAATCTCTTCAAATATCTGATGCTATCATATAAAAGAGGGATTTGATTTATTCCACTTGACCCCAGAGGGCAGAGCAAGGAATACAAAAGTCATCAGGAGACACATTTCAGTCTAATATAAGGGAAAACTGCCTAACAATTAGAACTCAAGTTTTTAGTAGCAAGGATAGGACAGACAATGGGAGGCCATTGCCCAGGGAACGACTGAATGGACTGCAGCATATGAATGTCATGGAATATGACTGCCCCATAAGAAAGGACAAATATAAGAAATTCAGAGGATCTCAGGAAGGCTCACAAACTGATGAAGAGTTAAATAAGCAGAAGCAGGCCAGTCCTTTCAACAATGACCACAGTAAATAACACAGAAGGACTTCTGATCATTGCAATGACCAATGGTGACGTCATCTGGTGAAGTATGCCTCCTGCTCCTCCTCAGAGACATAGTAGATCCTGGGTACAATATCTGGCCTGCACTGTCAGACATGCTCCATGTGTTATTATTGCAGCAAGGCGATGCAATGGATAGAATTCTGGACCTGGAGTCAAAAAGACCTAGGTTCAAATCCCACTTCACTTTTACTAGCTGTGTGACCTGGAGCAAGTCACTTAAACCCCTTGCCTCAGTTTCTTCATCTGTAAAATGGGGATAATAACAGCATTTACCTCCCAGGGTTCTTATGAGGCTCAAATAAGAATATTTGTAAAGTGCTTTGCAAACCTTTAAGCACTCTAGAAATGCCAGCTGTTATTGTTTGTTTAACTGTACTTTCTTACAAGGGAAGGGGTGTTCTTTGGATGTTACACTGGCTGTTCCCCATGCCTGGAACTCTCTCCCTTCTCATCTTGACCTCCTGCCTTCCCTGGCTTCCTCCAAGTCTCTGCTAAATTTCCTTCTTCTGAAAGGAATGCTTCCCAGTCCTCCTTAGTTTTAGTGCTTTCTCCCTGCTAATTTATCCTGCATACATCTTGTTTGCACACAGCTGTTTACATGTTTTCTCCCTCACTAGACTGTGAGCTCCTTGTGGGAAGGGAATGTGATTTTGCCTTTCTTGTATTCTCAGCACTTAGCCCAGTACCTGGGACATAGTAGGTGCTTAATAAATGCTAGTTGACTAACAGTATTGGGTTGTTTTTTTAAAAAGCACTTACTTAACCTTCTTCTATTTGCTGAAATGGAACTCCCCCAGAGAGTGGAAGAGATCTGTTCAATGTCACACAGCTAGAATTAACATATGCAAGACTTGAACCCAGGCTCTCTGAAAGGTGGGGTGCTCTTTCCACCATATTAGACTACAAAGTAGACACTGCGGCAGGTTGTCAGGGGCTCAGACCCCTATTCCTCATCCTCCAAGTGACAACCCCCCAGAGCATATTGCCTGCTGCTCCTTTAGGAAATAGGGGTCCTCTCTGCTGAGGGACAGCCTTAGGGGAAAGGGGAGAAATCTCTCACCAGCTCCCCTGCTATTGTGAGGAAGGACACAGGTGCCATGGATAGCCTGGTGCTGAGCTCAGGGGATGGGAATGCAGGGCAGGCAGAGACTCCTGCCTAGGCTGGCCACTCTGACATGGCAGGAAGTGAGGCACCTGGCGGGAAGGGTAGTGGATGACAGCAGGCCCAGAGGTAAGGATAGCCCCACCCCAGAGGAAGGCAGAGGAATAAGGATAAGCCCAGGCAGGGGCCAGAGCCCAGATGAAGCTGAGGCAGCCCACCCTTTCACTCTATAATTAGTGCAGAGGGTTTTCAGGATCTGTAATTCATGGACATTTTCTGGTCTCCCAAAGGCAGCCACAGGAGCTTGAGCTGAGGGAAGGAAGAAAAGAGCAAATGGCCACCCTTCTCACCCACTCCCTCCCCCAACCTTATCCACAGACAGAGCAAGAAAGGGAGACACACAGAGAGATCCTTATCACATCATATTACGCATTAGAGTGATCTATATTTGTGTCTTATCCTCCACTAGTCTGTAAGCTCCATGAAGGCAGGGTTCATGTCTTATTAAATCTGTTTCTCTTCCAGCACTTAGTAAAGAACTCAACACACAGCAGAATAGAGTGTGGCTTGGGAGCCAGGAAAAACTGGGTTAGAATCTTGCCTCTGGTGTTTATTATCTATATAACCCTGGGCAAAGTCACTTACCTCTCTAGTTCTCAGTTTCCTCATCCATAAAATTAGGGTGATACTAGCACCTACCCAACAGGGTGGTTGTGGTGAGGACAGAATGTGATAATGTTTGTAGATTTCTTCAAAAACCTTAAAGGACTACAATAAATGCTAGCTATCATCATCATCAGGAACATGGATTTAGAGCTGGAAGGGACCTTAAAGGAAATCTGCTCCACGCTCCTCAGTTTACAGATGAGGAAACTGAGACCCAGAGAGGGTGTCACTTACTAAAGGGTGTTGTGTCAATGCCAAGTAGCAGAGAAAGCATTGGAATCCTTATCTTCTGACTCCAAATCTAGTCCCAATTGTAACTATATTAGAACAAACAAAAAATACACAGTCCCTGTTCTTGCTAAGACACTGCACAATATACTCTCTTTCTTTATACACAAACAAAAATGGAGAGTATATACAAAATTTATATACATATATATGTATGTGTATATTTTTTGGCCTGTTCCTATATATTTACACACATGATACATATATAGATATGTATGTATGTGTATGAGTATGTATATATGCATGTGTTACATGTATACACATGCATACACACATTTATGCATATGTACACATATGCATATATACGTGTGTGTGTGTGTATAGTAGATAGCAATTCCCATAAGAGGCAGTGTGGCACTGGAATAGTGAGACAATGTGGATAGAGAACTGGCCTAGGAGCCAGGAAAGCCTGGATTCAAATCCTGCCTCTGACACATAACTAGTTGTGTGACCTTGGGGAATTCATGTAACCTCTTAGGGCTCTAGACTGTAAAGTTGCAGGGAAGGTGCCAAACTACATTAGTAAAGGAAGTTTTCTCATCTGGGAGTTCCTTATATGAACAAATTCACAAGACTAGACTTTGTTCCTACCCAGAGATTCCCATAAAGACAGAGGAGTAGACAGAAGGACACAGATGTGTCCCAGGGCTCATGGACCTCATGTTCAGCCCTGCTTGCACCATGTACTGTCCTTTGCACTACTCAAGTGAGGGACTTGTTCCCTACTCCCATATGTGGAGCCAGCCACAACCCCCTTTGCCCAATCCTGCCCTTAAAGATACTCCCACCTAGAACCTCCCCCATTGTGCTATGTGGAACCAAGGGCAAATTTCCAGAAAGAACCAGGGTCTCTTCAAAGGGAGTCAGTCATGCCAAAGGCTGGAGTGCCATCTCCATCGGGTGCTTCAAGGCCAGTCAATAATAATATTGACAAGGAGTTGGAGGCACTTTTGAAGCCTGGGTCTCCCAGAATGCTGAGATCAGGCAGGCTTACTATAGAAACTTTTTAAAAATTTAAATGTTTTTATCTTTTAAACAAATGCTTTATTTGCTGTTCTTTTGTCATCTCTCTGTCACTCACCAATGATTTCTCCCTCCCCCTATGCTGTACTTTGCTGTCAATACAGTTAAGCAAAACTAATCAAACCATTAGCCATGTCTTACAATGTATGCCTCATCCCACACCTATAGTTTTACCACCTCTTTGCCAAGACAGGCAGTTTAGCTTCTCCAGGTCAGGACGGAAATGACTTAGCTCTTAAGGGAAAGAAGGCTGCTTTTACAGGAGACAGTGTAGTGACTGATTTGAAGTCAGAAACCCTGGGTTTGAATCCTGGCTCTGCTACTTAATACATGTGTGATCTTGGACAAGTCACTTAAGGTCTGCAGGCCTCAATTTCCTCCTTTGTAAAATGAGGAAGGTTGGACTAAATGCCCTCCAACATCTATGACCTTTGAACCTTCCCTAACCCTAGTATGACACATAGCACCAAGATTTGGAGTTGGAAGGGACCTTAGAGGCCAGGTCCAGCCTGTTCATTTTACAGATGAATGTTATGATCCTATTATCTCTAAGGTCCCTGGAAGAAGAAGCTGGGTATTCTGTGATGAGGTGCCAGATACCTCGGTTCCATGTCACTTAGCTCCAAGGTGGGGGGTGGGGGGGAAGGATCAGGGGAAAGGAACCTTCCTCTTCCACTGGCCTGGCCCCAGCCCGCCATTGTTCATGGCCTCCAATCAGGAGCACCCACTTCCTGTTATTTCAGGGGCAGGAAATGATGACATCCCGCCTAGGCCCCACCAGACCCTGCAGACCTGTTAGCCAGCCCCTTCTAGCTCCCAAACCTTTGCCTTAAACTCCAGCTCTCAGGCCATTCCTCTGCTCTCCCGTGCCCAGATCTGGTGCTGGAAGTGGAGGGATTCAAAATTAAGACGTGATCTCCCCTGAGAGGGGAAGGTAATTTTGGGTAAAGAGGGTAGAGGTAGGGTTCCAAACACCCTGGTCTCAGCTAATCAGACTCATTCAAGAAAAATCCCAGCTTCAGTGATACTGTAGGACCTGGCCAGTAAAGTCCTGACCCCAGGGATGTATGAGTTTTTGAATGGCAGGCATTTTGGGCTTACTCTGGGAAAGTGAAGTTAGGGGCAGGAGATACAGGTCTAGGGTAAAAGCAGAGGGGCTGGGGACCCTGCTCCTTACAACTCACTATTTCAGAGTCTATGTATGCATCATAGAAGAAAATGAGGTTCTGGTCATCATCCAGGTAATTTATGTTGCAAATCTAAGGCCCCTCCAAAATCACAGAATGTAAAATTGGGAGGGGGCCTTAGAACACTGAACATAAAATCTTAGCACTGATAGGAGCCAAAGAGACCTTAGCACAACCTCCCTAATTTTACAGAAAAGGAAACTGAGAGTCAGGAGGTTTAAGTGACCTTGTCCAAGGCCAGACAGCAAATCTGCCTAGTGGTCATATTTCTACTTCCTTTGGCTCTGTGAAGGCCAAATCTTGGTGTCCAAAGGGTTGGTAAGACACCCTAGAGTGGAGAGGGAATAGGAAGAGGCACAGTGGGAATTGGGATGGCTAAGGATTGGGGCATCATACCTCACTGCTGCCCCACCCCCCACCCCACTCCTCTCAGGCAGCCCCAGTGATTGGGGGTGGATGAACAGGACCTGCAGCTGTCACAGTAACACTGAAGACCGTGCCCAGGGGTGCCAGGCAGGGCTGCCACCCTCAAAACAAAGCTACATTATCTGGGGCTCACCCGGCTGGCTCCCTTTACCCAGAGGCCCAGCTGGTGCCAATAGGCATGGCTGCCTGGCCCCCTGAGGCCTCAGGCCAGACCAGATCAGAGGTCTCCTTTCCTAAGAGGCTCTCAAACTTTTAGCCGGCCCCCAGTGCTCCTTAGTTGGTACCTATGGGGGCTTTCTCCCAGAGGAGGAGTCAATAAGCAGCCCTACTCCAGCCAGGAATTGGGGAAGTGGGCCAAGGTGCCTCTACCTTTCTAGGCCTGGGGCTAGCACAGAATGAGAGGGAACTCTCAATCCCTTTCCCTTCATTTGCATACGCATGACAGCACATTAGGGGCTCATTAATAGCCTCATTACTGGGACCCATCAAGCCCACATAGCAAGGTTGGGAGAAGAGAAGGGGAAAGAGGAGGGGAAATGGGAGAGGAAGAATGGAGAAGGCCTGAGCTGCAGGGAAACCAAGCCTCAAGGCCTCTCTGTCCCTAAGACTCTATCCAGGACCCTACCTCATCATAATCATCTATATTTGTACAACTTTACTAGCTTAAAACTTCTCAGAGACTTTTGGGTCACCCAGTGTAAAACTGACTGGTTTGCAAAGTGCTTTGCATAAGCCTGGCAACAACCCTGGGAAGAAGATGCTCTAGGTATTGTTCAAATTTTACTAAGGAGGAAACAGACTTTGAAAGGCTTAGGGACTTACTTAGTGACCCTCTAGTGTCAGAGGCAGCATTTTCACCCAAGTTTTCCCCATTAGACTAGAAGCTCCTTGAGGGCAAGGACTGTCTTTTGCCTCTTTTTGTATCCCTAGTGCTTAGCACAGTGCTTAATAAATGTTTATTGACTGACTCACCACAATCCCAACACTCTATATCCTGGACCATGAATAAGCAGGATTTCTGGGTAGAAATCATTCATTCCATCCAGGGTTCTTCTCTCTGTATCCAAACCAGGTACCTCATCCAGAGCACTCTAGCTTGTAAACAGACCTGTCTACCCATCCAAGTCCATTCTGTATAGAGACTAGTCTCCTCAACTGGGTATGCAGAACAGTCATTCCATTGAAGGTCCCAAATACACATGAGCCCATCCTCTACTCTCTGTAATCAAACAAGTTGCCCCATTCTTCATCAGGGGTTTCTCCTGCCTACAGATGAGGGCCTCCCCTCCATGCAAACTAGTTCTTCCATCCAAATCACCCTCTCAAGTCAGTATACAGTATACTTCAGTATACAGACCACTTCCCTCTCCAGTTCCTGTTCCCTATCTGCCAATCTGCCAGGGACCTGTGGAGAACCTTGAGTGCAGAGGGGTTGGGAAGAGGGGGACATTAATGACCCTAGGGAGCCTGCCAAAGTCTTTGGGAAGCTTCCAAGACCCTAAAGCTCTCTCAAGCTTCATCAGAGCAAAGATAAAAATCCAGTCATTTCAGCTGTCAGACTTGTGTTCTAAGCCCAACCACATTACCCCCATAGCCACAGACCCTAGCCTCCTAATATCCCACACTCTCCCACACCCTAGAACAGAACTAAGCACCCATATTAGTACCATTGGTGTGGTTGGGAGGTTACAGTGAACACCCACTGGGCATCACAGCAACCCCACCTATCCTGGGATCCCCCACACCCACAGACACTGTTTCATCCTGAGCTTGGGGCCCTGAGGGGGCAAGGAGGTGACTGGGATTAGATTCTGACTCCTGGAAGCAAAGTGGAGAAGGTATGGGAAGGGAGCAAGGCTCAGGCCCACATCTCTGCTTGAGTCAGTGAGAAAGGGATTCAGGCATCCTGAGCTCCCAGTTTGATAGGTGCTGCCCCCTCCCCTTAGACACATGGGAGTTATATCCCAGAAAAGATTGCTTTTCCCTTCCTCCCCTCAACCAAACCTGTCCCCACTTCCTAATCACATCTCTTCTACCAGTAGCCTCAGAACTGGTTATTTGTGGGAGGAGTGGGGTTGGGGACAGGGGATAATGCTCCTTTTTACCCCAAATCCCAAGAACTTCCTTTCTTGGAGATGGACAAAACCTAGAGGATGTAAATTGAGGCCTTTGCCCCATTCTATAGAGTAGAGAAACTGAGGCCTGAGAGAGCTCAGCTTAATGATGATGCCAGGAAATTTAGGGAAACCGGGCCTGGAAGTAAAATGGAGAAGTCTTTTGGAGTCAGAAGGGGAATGAGTTTGAAGTTCTATCTTGGTCCCATACCTCTCCCTTACCCCAAATTCTGAAATGAACTTGGAGGCTGTGGAATCAGGCCTCCCCCAATACCCTGCAAGAGGCCTAGGGGCCCAGGGCCTAGCCTAGCTCTAAGGGAAGTCAGGGCCCCCTCCGAGCCTCCCGCCCTTGCCCCTAACAATGCCGCCTCCCCCTTCACTCCCCTCCCCTCCCCCAACCCTCTCTTTTATTCTGCCAGTTACTTGGCAGCCACAGTGCAGTCAGAGCTTCCCCCTTCCCCCTCGGCCTCTGCTGCCCCAGCCACCCGCACACTTCGTGGCAGCTGGATCGATGGGGGATTGGAGGAGGGTAGAGATCTGAATGGGAGGTGGGATGCGTGTGAGGTAAGGATCTAGATCTAGATTGGGAGGAGGTGCTCTCCAGGCTTTCCAGAGGGAACTTAGTGGGGAAAGCTGGGTTCTCATCTAAGTCCCGAAGACTGACAACTCGGGGTCGGGGGAGAGAGGAGGGAAGGGACCCTTCTCGGCCAGGGTAGGTAGACAGGACGATTCCTTTCGCCACACTACTCCTTGAGGTATGGGAACCCATCCCTGCCGAAGACGACGATGTGGAGAAGGGGCTCTGTGTCTCCTCAGAGGGCAGAGCCACAAGTTGGAAGAAGCGACTTGTCCCCACTTCCACTCTCACCCCCACCGCTCTACACACAAACCCTGGAGAAGGGGAAGCGGAGGCTGGGCTGAGGAGGCATGTGACGGGGCAAGATTGAGGAAGGGGGGGGTCAGGGGAGCACAGAAGCCAGGACAGAGTTGTAGCTGGGAGGCGCGACGTGGGGGATGAACAGTGGTCCCGGGTGCAGAGAGGTGGGGGTGGGGGATACCCAGCAAAGTCCAGGATCCATTTCCAGGGTGGCGAGCTAAGAATATTTGGGGATAGCCGGGACGGCGGGTCGGGGGAGAGTCTCTGGGAATACCAGGCCCTAAATCGGGGGAGAGGCTGGTTCCTGGGCGGGCACATCCCGAAGGCTGCAGTGGCTAGAGCAAGGCAAAGCCGCGGCGGCGGCGGCAGCGGGAGGGGGGAGGGGGGGCAGCTGTCAGAAGATGCCACTGTCCTGGAGCCGCGGCCGCAAGCTTTTATTTTTAAAACTCCCCACTCCCCAGCAGTTCCTGGCCGAGATGGGGGCGGAAGGAGGGGGGACGGCTCCACGCCTACGGTGGGCGCCCCCCCACCCCCTTCCCAGGCCTCTGAGCTGCGCAGCCCACCCAAGGCCTGCCTCCCCGCTTCAGTCCACTGCCCCAGCCCCAACCCCTTGGCAAATCTGGCGGGTACCTTGTGGGGCGCCGGGGTCCGGCTCCTGGTGCTGGCCCTTGTCCATGGCTACTGAGCGGCGGGGTGGGGTCTGCTCCTCTGCGGAACGCCTTGAGATCTCAGCCGCGGAGGCGGCGCCGGTCTGAGCTCGGTGCTTCCCCCACCCCCGTGGCTTCTGGGGGGATCGGACGGCTCATCCCGCCTTGGCTTCCTTTCTTCCTCCTCCTCCTCCTTTTCCTCCTCCTCCTCCTCCTCCTCCTCCTCCTCTTCCTTTTCTAGAGCTCAGGGGGATGGGGTTCACCCGCACCTCCAAATGCAAGCAATCAGGACCTGGGGGCCCCGTGCAGCCGGCGAGGCCGAGATCCGCGGGCGCCGGGCTCGCGGGGCGGGGCGGTGGGGGTGGGGGCTGCGACGGCCTCGACAGCTGCCCAGTGCCGGCCCGGCCCCGGCCACGGCCCCAGAGCTATTGTACAGATTCCCGGCTCCGGCCCTGGTCTCTCGGCTGGCCTATACCAAATGTGCCACCGAGGGAGGGCCGGCCCCCCACCTTGCGACCCTGCGCAGGTGGGTAGAAGGTGTCACCCTCTACTGTTCAGCCTCTAGCAGGGGAGAAAATGTTAAAGGCGCGGGGACCCCTCTTTACCAGAGAAAAGGAGATCGGCAAAAAGACTTAGGGAGGGGCCTTTTGGGCTGTCTCTCCCCCGCGAATGTCATTTGGTATCGTCCCGCAGAGTGTAGAGACTATGTAGGGAGAGTTGAGAGAGAAGCTGGTGACTCACCACCCCCGGGAAGGGGGGGAGCATGTGGGCCCTCAATCCACCCCCCCAAGTACTCCAGCAGACGTGTGAGGTTTGAGGGCCTGGGGTTATAGGACACCACTCCCAGCTCTGAAAAAAAAATCAAATCTCAAGCGAATATGTCCCGTCCCCCCTCCCCCCCCGCCGCCGGTCCCAAGCCCAATTAGCTATTGGGGGAGGGGGATACCAGGAGCTCTCCTCCCCCGAGTTGCTGCTTCTCTGCCTGTTGCAGGCTCCGAGCTAGGCTCCAGCAGGGCCCAGAGGCTCAGCCTCCTTAGCCTGAAACCATTTGCACACACCGATCCCTCAACCCTAAATTACTTCAATACTCCAAGGGGTGCCGAGTAAACTCAGGCAGATGCCCTGACCCTCTCCCTTTCCCCCTCCTCCTTCAGTAATTATAACTCTGAAACTTGTAGGCCTATTCAGGGCCTCATCTGTCTCTACCGCCAATGGTTTCCCCCCTCCCCCTTCTGACCCTGCTGTCTCTGCCTTCCCCTCCATCAGCATCCCCACCCCCTTTTCCCCAGGCCCACTGAGGAAGCTGGGGCCAGGGACAGGAGCCAAGTCCATCGTCCAAACATCAGACCGAGGACAGGAGCTTGCAGAAAGGTGGATCGATGGGGCTGCAGGGGCCTGGTGAGAGATGGAAGCAAGAGAGTGAGGGAATAAGGGAGAGCAGGGTTTGAGTGGAAGGGAAGATAAGACCAGATCCTGACCACTCCTGGCTTTGCTCTTTGTCCTGACCTCAAGAGTTTGAAGTTGCTGGCTCTTCCATTGTCCAGGGATTAGCCCATGGTCCAGATGTAAGGGCCTCTCTCTCTGGGGATCAAGTATGCCCCTGAGTGCTACTCCCAGAGCTCTGAGCAGACCCAACTTCCCTGAAGGTCAGTTCCTGGAGGGAGTAGGGGAGCTGGGCCACCCCCATACATCAAGGCAATGAGGTCCATGCCTTTGGTAACTTGGAAGGAGGGGACCCTCTCTTTTGGGTTCCTTGGAGGTGAGGAAGGGAGTAAAGAGAGAGCGTCAGTGACCTAGAAGACAGGCTAAGGGAAAATAGCCCCAAGTTGAGCTGGGATAGTAAATTCATGGGGTGAGGGAGAATGTCAGAAACCTAGAGGCATCTTAGAAACTGTAACAGTCCATTTGTAGATGAGGAAATTGAGACAGAGAGGGGAAGTGATTTGCCCAAAGTGATAGGGCAAGTCCGTGAGAGAGTCAGGACTGGAACTCCATTCTTCTGACTCTCAGTCAAGTCCAGGACACTCTTCCTTGTTTCACAGAGTATCTCCTAAATATAGTTATGCCAAGAGTTGATAAAACAAAGATCTACACAAAACCTGGTCCTGGAATTTATGAACCTTACAATCTAGCAGAAAGAAAATCAAACACATGGAGAAAAATATAACTACCCCCCTCCCCCATCTGGAGGCTTTGTCTTCTCTATATGCCCACAGCCTTCATTGACTGTTCCATTGGCCAGAGTGGTCAGGGAAGACTTCCCAAAAGAGATAGCATCTGAGCTAGGCCTTAAAGGACTACAATAAAAATGGATTACATTTCCTTAGACCTTTATACTTTACAAAGTGAATGCCTTAAAGCAATTGCCTGTGCGATTTGGAGGGAAAATATTATTACTCTATTTTACAAAGGAGGAAACAAGTATGAAATCAACAAGCATTTATTAATCACTTACCAAGAAATGACTGGCATTGTGATAGGTGCTAGGGCTGGAAGAATGAAACAGCTCCTGGATTCAAGGAAGTTACATTCTATTGAGTACGCATAAGTAAGTAGATTAAAAACAACAAAGTAAGTACAAGTAATTTCAGTAGAGGCACTAGCTGCTGAGGGGAAGCAGGTAACACTTCGTGCATTTGAGATGATATTTCCTTTCGTATACTCTATTTCTGCCAAGCTAACCTACCAGCTTCTCCCTAACATAGTGCTTTGCACATTGTAAGCACTTAACAAATTCTTTTTTCATTCACTCATTCATTCACGGACTCAAGATATTGTCTCAAGATGTCTTTGCTGGGGCTGCTAGGTGGTTCAGTGGATAGAGCACTGGCCTTGGAGTCAGAAGGACTCCAAGTTCAAATTTGACCTCATATACTTACTAGCTGTGTGATCCTGGGTAAGTCGCTTAACCCAGATTGCCTCCAAAGAAAGATATCTTTGAACAGACTGTTGGTAATGCCTGGAATGCACCCTTTATTCACCTTCAACTCTAAATCAGTCCCTCTTTCCATCAAAGCTCAGCTCATGACCCCTCAGCTTTTACTTTTCTCTCCCTCCTGAAATTACTTTGTATTTACTTACCTGTCTTCATGCTGCAGTACATACCATCCCCACTCCATTTAATAGAAGCTCCTCAAGAGCAAAAACTGATTCCTTTTTTGCATTTTTAGCCCTAGCACCTGGCTCAGGGCCTAGCACACAGTAGGTACTTAATGAATGATTGTTGGATTTAATTGACTATTAAAGTGAGTAGGAAGTGTTAGAGCTGTTACCAAAACCCAGGGCCCTTTCCCACAGTGTCTCATTATTTACAACAACATTATTTAGGTAACATTTCTACAGTTAGAGATTAGGGAAAGAAACATTTTTTGGCAGAAAGAGAGCATCCCTGTCAGAACATAAACAAAGGTCCAGAGATGGGAAAGGCCAGGATGGGAGGAGGGGACCATTTGGGGAATTTTAGTAATCCCATAGGAATTAGCATGGGAAATAGTGGTTGGAAAGGTGTGTTGGGGTCTTTGAAGGGCTTTGAATGCCAGGTTTAACATCCTGGGACTTTGCCCTATAGGTTGGAGGGGAGCCATTGAATGGTTTGGAGCATCAAGTGATGGATGTGCAACGATCAACATGCTGTTTTGTTTAAAAAGGACTCAAAAATCAGGTATTTAATTGTGCTGTGCCAGACCTGGTCTCCACCCTTGGAAAAATCACAGTCTAAAGCAACTATCCATGTACAGGATCTTTAGAGAGAAGAAAAGATACATTAAGCCAAGACCAAGGGAGGCAGTGTTGTCTAATGCAAAGAACCCTGGCCTGTAAGTCAGGAGAACCCAGTTGTAATGCCACCTCTGCTACTAACTTGCTATGTGACCTTGGACAAGTTCCTTCTCCTCTCTGGGTCAGTTTTTCTTTTCTTTTCTTTTTTTTGGAGGCAGTCAAGGTGAAGTAACTTGCCCAGGGTCACACAGCTAGTAAGTTTCTGAGGCTGGATTTGAACTCAGGTCCTCCTGAGCCTTGTGCTAGGGCCGGTGCTATCTACTGTGTCACCTAGCTGCTCCAGTCTCTGTTTTTCCATCTGCGTATTTTTAAAGGTTAATCTTTGTACTTTTATATTAATATTTTAATAGGAATCAATTTGTTCATGAATCAGGTAACAAAAGTAGAAATCCAGTAGAGACAACTTGCAAGTTGAACCAGGGCCATCTTTAATAGTACTGAAACTCATTTTAACAGATAGTGCTGCCTTTGGCAGTCCACTGTCTCTCGCTGTTTATTGGTTGGGGTGGAAGAGATGATGTCTCAAAATTCTTTCCCAGCTCTGATGTTCTAGGGCTCTAAAAAGAATATTTTAAGGGATGGCATGGGGATTAAGATGAGGGAATTACTGAGGATGCTCTATCAGAGAGAAGGCCAGGCACTTCTATGTTAAGACAAATCAACAGAAAGTTGCTAACTCTCCAGGGCTTTGCATGTAGTAGACTATAGGAGCTAAGCAAAGGTATGGAGGAATGGAATCAAAATGATCCATATGGAAAGGCTCCCAGGAATAAGTGGTGAGATTTGGGAGCTTTGTGATGGGCCAGTTTATTGGGATGGTGAAGAAAGTGACTCTAGGAAGTATTAGAGCCTGGGTATAAGTCAAGGTAACATCTAGGAGAACAAGTGAAGGAGGCCTTTGAGTTAATCTCCTTTCCATTGAAATCCCTATTGCCTACAAAATTTTGCTTAAATTGAGTCTGATTTCTGATTCTGCCAAGAAAAGAAAAAGGACTGTTCTCTCAGGATCTGGGAGAGTGCCTTTGTGGGGATATCTCTACCTGGTCTGGTAGGGAAGCTGAGTCACAGAGTGAAGGGATGGGCAACAGAACCTCTGGCTCTGTGCTCATAAGAGTCCCTTCCCTTTAGAATTCTGGCCAGGTGAAGGGAGTGGAAGGCAGATCTGCTGCCCTGACTCCCAACCCTAAGGGAAGCAGGGATAAGTGAACCATGACTTCCTCTAACCATGTGATTTCCTGGGTGAGAAGGGGGAGTGGGCAAAACCTGACACAAGAAGGGGAGGCTATAGTCCCTCTTCTAACCTCCCCAGTGCCAGATCTCTTTGCCTCATCCCTAAGACAGAGACATGAGTATCAAAAATACATAGATTGCTAGATAAAGTACATAGATAGGTAGAATGAGATGGGTGGAGGCTTCTGGGGAGCAGAGAAGTAATAGGGCAGAGGTTTTGGGAGTGAGGACCACCCTGAGAGAATGAGCAAGATAGAAACACAAAGACAGAACAGAAGCCCAGTCATATGGTATGCAGAGAGGAGGAGAGTCAGGAAATGGGGAAAGGGGAAGGCCATGGCAAGTTTATAGAATTTTAAGCAGGAAAAGGGGCCCCGAATTCTCAAATTTAGAGGGGCAAACTGAGACCAGAGAGATTAAATGATTTAGCCAGGGTCACACAGATTGGTTATCGTTCTTGTTCTCGAAGAGGACCAAAATTACATCAGTATTGCTAGAGTCAAGTTTCAGTGTGTTTGACTGTGGCTGATCAGACCAATACGAGCTCAGAATGTTCTACTACAGGTCGGGCACAAATAGTCCCTGTGAACATTTGGGGTGGATTCTCTAAATTTGCACATCTTGCATTTCTTTTGAGACAGTAAGTGGCTGAACCAGGAGTTCAATCCAGAGTTTTTCTCTACCTTGATGCCAGACTAACCTCCCAATGGTTGAATTAGGATTGCTGCTCCAGATTCTTCAGGGGGTACTGAAAACTAATATGTTACTTAGAGCTCAGTGGGGACTTGAGGAGACTCAGATTCCTCAACGCTAGTGAGGTCATGGTTTTTCTCCTCAATCCCACCTCAAAGTCTCTTTAGAATATAAGCTTCTTGAGGGCAGGGACTCTGTGGCATCTACCTGTATGGTATCCCCAGGGCCCAGTACACAATAGGCCCATGATCAATGTTTGTTATTGAAGGAGAATAGCTAATATTTATAGAGCCCTTTATGTTTCCTGTTTACAAAGTTTAAATGAATGATTTCATTTGACTCTCACAACAACCCTGTAAGATAAGTAGTGTAATTCTTACTAGCCTGATTTTATAGATAATGAAACTAACACAGAGATTAAGTGACTTGCCCAAGTACTGGGCTATCAACTGACAGCTCAGATTCATTCTTTGATTCCAAATGACCTTTGAGATTCCTTCCAGCTCTAAATATGTAATCCAGGACTTTTCCTCACCTTTCATCTGAAAATTTTTAAATTAATTTTTATTTCAATGTATTTATTTTTAACCTAACAAAATATTTTTATGCCTTTCTATTGTTTTTAACATCATTAATATTTCCAATTGACTCTACTCACTCTGTAAAAAAAAAAAAAGAAAGAAAAGAAAAAGTCAAACAAAACAAATGAACATATTGGCCGCATCTGAAAACGTATGCCTCTTTCTGAACCTCTAATCTACCACCTCAGAGGAAAGACCAACCAATGATTCCCTCCAGCCTTCCATTCCCTATTAGGTGGCTGGGGGTGGTGGATGAGGAAGGAGAGGTATGTCCTCATTTGGCACCTTGAATGATTTAAGTGTATCTCCTGCTGAGGGAAGGGTGTCTGCATGAGTACAGAACAGGTCATTACCCACCGGGGAAACCCCGGGGTGCGGAACTACCTTGAGGTGGAGGGAGCAGCAAGGAGGGCAGGGGTAATGAAGGAGGAAAGGGAGGGTGAGTCCCAACTATTGGGATCCCTTCTAACAAGGTTCTTCCCTTTCTCCCTATCCTCCCCTCTGAGTCACCATAGACGCCCAACTCAAGTCGGGACTCCTGGGTCCCTGGGAACAGCAGCGGTGAGGCAGGTGTCTCTAGGGGGGACGCTCCCCACCAATCACCGTCCCTCCCAGTGACGTCGACACCCGCCCCGAGAGAGGGGGGGTGCTTTGTGTCAGCGCGCTGGCATCTCCCGGCACACCCAGCCCCAAAGAGCTGGCCCTTGTGAGCCTGGGGATCCGGGATCGGGATCGAGCTGCACGTTTGGGACAAAGAGGAAGTGCGCAGTAGGCACCCCTGGAGTCCTTGCTCTAAGAGGGAGGAGGAGGAGGAATGAAGTGGGCGAAGTCTTAAGTTTCTGGCTGACCTGAGGTCTCCGTAGAGGAACAAGCTTCCCTCTGCTTTTTTCCCAAACCTGAGCCCGAGAAAATGAGCAGTCTTGGGGGTGGGGGTGGGGGAGTCAAGAAGAAGGAGAGCAGGATAGAAATCCATGCTAAGCCTTAAAGCTCCATATAAAGATGAGTTACTAGCATCATTAGTTTTATTAATAATAATATGAATAATATACAGACAAAATCACCGAGAATCAGAGAAAGATTAAGACTGCAAGGCAGAGATTGAGGAGGACCCTAGATTCCGAGAACACACACATGTGGACAGAAATACACGGTTCTCTCCCCCAATATCCCTCTTTCGTCCCCTCCCTCGCCTACCTCCCAAGTGCCAGATTCTGGGCCCAACGGGCGGGGCTGAAGTCGCTAGGGGTGGGAGCCTGGACCATGGCTGTGACTCAAGTTTCTGTGGGGAAGAGTGGAGCAGCCGGCAGGGAGGGGCTGAGTCTGACAGACACCCAGTCAGACGGATGGATACTTTCACCTCAGCTGTCCTCTCTCCTTTCCACCCCGCCCCTGTCCCTCCTAGGGGCTGTGGGAGGAAGATCTCTTCCTTAGATGGGCTTTTCAAGACCTCCACACCTAGAATCCAGGACAGAGAAAAGGTTTCAGGGCTGAGGGTTCAGGTACTTGGGGCTGGAGGCACAAAGACTCAAGGTCTTTGGGACTTAGAATTGCCCTGGAGACCAAGGGTTGGGGATAAGAAGTGGTACCCAAAGTAAGTTTCAGGCGATCAAGGATTCATTGGCTCAGGGCTAGGGGCTTAGGAGGACCCAAGGGCTCAGGGCTCAGAGGCTCAAGGTTATCAATGATTTCTGGGCTTAGAGGGTCAATCAATCAATCCACAAGCATTTATTAAATGCCTATTATGTGTTAGGCATTGTGTTAGGTTACAAAGACAAAAATAAAAGGGTTTCTGCCCTTAAAGAGATCTTCCTTCCTTTCTTCATCTTTCATTTTTTCTTTCTTTTTCTTCCTTCCTTCCTTCTTTCCTTTCTTTTCTTTCCTCCTTCCTTTCCTTCTTTCTCTCTTTCGCTTTTTAAAGTTTACTTTCTATAGATACAAAAATAAGTGTAAGGTAATCTGAGGGATGGGCAGGAATAACTTCTCAAGGGTTGAGGGCAAACAAGAGCTTAGATGGTTGTTTAGAGTTCAGAGGTTAATGGCTCAAGAGTACTCAAGAACCAGGATTTTAAGGCTTCAGGGACTCACTGGTGCTCAGGGAACTCAGAAATCAGGGCACCCTGGGGTGCTTAAGGCTAAGAGGTTCAAGGGCCCAGAGGATCAGTACATCCAACAACTCGGGGCACTGATGCCTCACCTACTACCCGAAAAAGTCCATGACGCATTTCTCCCTCCCTCCGAATTTCCTCCCCAGAGATCTCTGCAATCTAGAAACAGCTTAGATGTTGTGATGAAAAGAGCACTAAATCCTGGCTGTCTCACTAATTACCTGTGTGGTCTTTAGCAAATTACTTCCCTTCTCTGTACCTCAGTTTCCCTATAA